TAAACTTCGAGTAAGGTTTTCCTACCAATTCAATGACTTTTTCCGTAAAGCCTTTGAGATCTCTATAGTCAATAAATCGCCCATAAGGGTAAATAATATGCCAACTACATTTATCAATATTTGATGAACTAGCTAGAGAAAAAGACTTTAAGATCGGTATGCATTCTGGTATAAGATTTAATGCATCTGCACAGGCAATTAAAATTCGAGACATCAAATCATCACGAGTAATTTTTTCGCCATCTAAAGAAGGAAGTTTCGGATTTGCAGGATCCGGTTTTTGTCTTGCATCAATATCTAATATAGGACGAAGGGGCTTGTTCCCGTTAATACATTCATGTGCATCCGGTATTTTATAAATTTCAGAAGGATGATCTATTACTGTAAATCCTTTTCCTACAACCCGAATTATATATCGAGAATTAATCTCTTCTGGATAATATACATCCAAGAGTGCGATATTCTTTGCATCATCTTCCAAATCATCTTCCGAGTCATCTTCCGAATCATCTTCTGAAGTAAGTGTACTCTGTCCATTAGATGGAAGTAAATATTTAAAATAAATACATTCTCCTCTATAACCAGTTTCATACTCAAGATCCGTTAAATCTGCGAAAAGACTTTTTGCCTCACTGACTTCAGCCAATTTTTGACTTTGGCGCTGTTGTTGAAATGATTTATATAGACGTTTTTTTTCCTCGCTAGACAGACCCATTTTATTACTTGATCAGTTCGTATGAATAATGATACAAAAAGTTCAATTCAAAAAGTATACAAAATTGAAAATTATTACCGCTATTAGTGATGGGATTTTATTCTTGACCGTATACTTACATGGATGGATGTGTTTGTAGAAAAGGCTCTAAATTCTTTTTTGTATAGTGATATCTATGAATGAAGGGCGGGTAATTAATTTTGATTTGAAAAATAATAGGTAATAAATATATCGCAATCTACTTATCGATATACGTATTATCATGAACACTGCTTCAAAAATCCGAAAGCCCCAAACTAATAGTTTTACCTCCATTTTGGACCAGATCCTAAAAAAATATAACTTATCCACCGAATCTAATCCATCTCAATTACGTGTCTATGCTAGTGAACTCGGTGCTATGTTACCAGATTGGAAAGCTCGTAAAAATGTGAAAGAAGCTCTTCGCCGACGCCAATTCAAAGAAGAACAGATCAAGGCTCTTGTACCGGATAAAAGGAATGAAAAACTTACTATTAGGGAAAGAGTTCAATATTGCGCTAAAAGTGGTGATCCGTATGATATTTACTTACATGCTTTAGATTTAGTCAAGACAAAAAATGATAGTGATGAAGAAATTGTTGCATCCAGCTCACGTCTTTCGCTTTTCCGTAAGGAATTGAAAGAATCTGGAGTTGATTCTAAAGTAATTGATATATATGCTAAATTTTCGGCACTTACTCAAGATTCTAACGAAATTCAGAAGAAGCAACTTGTACAACGATTAACCAATCCGTTTAAAACTCCTAATACTCCTAAACACTTCTCCTTAGATGAGGGACTTAGAAGGATTCAAAGTATCGATACTACTAAAATTCCAACAATGCAGGATCTTGCAGACATGATTATGATGCTGAGCATGAGACCTGCTGAAGTTAGTACTCTTCGTATTATCCATTATGAAGAAGCCAAGCTTCGAGTCTCCAACTCACCGGATGAAACAGACCCTCCGGAATGGTACAAACCCGGTTATTATTGGTATTGTACAGGATATATTAAGAATAAGGGAGAGAAAAAGGCTGAGCCTCGACAATTCCTTTCCATGGAAAAGAATCCAGAACGTGCAAGAGAATTACTTACTTGGATTCAAGATGCCATAGCAATGAAAAAGTTATGTCATCCTGTATATAGTGATAATGGAAAACGTAATACTAGAGCATTTAGCAAATTTTTAAAGCCATATGGTATTATAGCCAAAAGATTGAGAAAAATAGGAGGTAAGCACGCTTCTAGAGTTCATGGTGGCCAAAATCTAACATCCCAACGTCTTAATTTACTTGCTAGAATTGCAATGAGACATAAGATAGACCGTTTTGATTCTGGAACTTATTATGCTGAGGGCGACACTTCTTCTGTTTCTGATTCCGATTCCGATTCTAAACCCGAACCTAAATCTCAGCCTAAGAATAACGATCTTTCAAATAAAGTGCACTATAATCCTTTTGATGTCCAAATCGCGGAAATAGATTCGATGTTAGCTGGAATTAAAAATTTTCGTTAATAGTTCTGATAATGCAAGCGCCATAATAAATATATAGCTATGTAATAAAAAAATACTTATCTTCAATTTTAGCCCCTCTGAAGCCTATTAAATGGTATACTAATATCTAGCGTCGACCAACTTTTGCAGAAAAATCGCGTGTGCGTTACAAGATCAAATATCAACTGATTTGTAAATACTTATCTACAATTATGCTTCCACTGCTATGTTTTTATTTGGAAATATAAGAGCCTTGTTCCAAGGGATAGGTGATGTGAAGCGTTGAGTTTTTAACTCCTGAATCGGTTTTGAATTTTCAGGATAAGCTTCTAATACCTCATCAATAGAAATTCCTGGCTCTTTTAAATTAGTGCAATGCAAATAATAATATATATTTTTACTTCGATTATCAAACCACCAATTACCTTGTAAACTCATATGATTTCCTCTACATATTGGACAACGTGAACCGAAAATCCAATAAGAATCACTCTGGTGCTCGCCTTCCTTATCTATACTATAATCTTTGTCCAATTTTGGAGAATCAGTGAAACGCATGGTTAATTTGTTAATAACTTGATTACGCTCCTCTTTTGATAGCATCTTCTTGAATGGAAAGAGTCTTGGAAGGGTATTAGATGGTGGTATACTTAACTCGGTTCCTGATACTTTTTTTGACTCAGATGAAATACTTACCTGGCTTTCTGGCAATTTTTCCGGTGAAACATTTTCAGACAATGCGCTTATACTTACCTCAGATTCCGGTAAAGACATTTTCTTGGCCTCCTCACTTATCTCAGCTTCTAATATTTTTTTAGAATCGATAGATGATTCCAAGGGAATCGATGAGTTGGAGACTCGAGACTTTGTCTCTTCATCAGATATACTTACCTTAGTGTTTGATATATCGTTTGAACTAGATGGTTTTATCACGTGCGCGTTATAATTTATAACGCCGATCACTTTTTGACATTCATTTGTATCAATAGATTTCTTGGAAAAATAATTTATAATATCTTGTATTTGCTTTTCTGTTAGACTTGAAATGGTGCTTGCACTACAAGTTACTTGTCTAATTCTATCTATCCCTACTCCCATAAATAATATATAAATTTTTTTAGCTTTAAAGGTTCTCTGTCGCAAATTTATATCAGTAATATCAGGAAGAAGTAATTTTATTTCGTTATATACCAATGTTCTTGCCTTTTGATCATCAATATTATTTATTCGCTTAATATCTTCGATTCGATCCTCATATAATTTATAGTAACAATACCAGCATAAAATCTCTTTTTGTCTAGTCTTCATAGCAACAATAAATACATCAACTATATTTTGAGCCGTAATTTTTCCAGATCCCCTTATAATTGCTTCTAAAGAGAATTCGGGAATATATATATCAAATACACTATTATCACTTTTGACGCAAACGGAAAATTCATCCCTTAAACATTGCTCTACCTTCTGGTTATAGGGAATTTTCGCTATTTCAGAAGGAATAGTATCTTGAGAAATTATTTTGTGAGAAATGGCGCTCCGTACCTCAGTTGTAGGATTCTCAGAAGAGAAAGATGTTTTTTGTATCGATTCTTGATCTCGAAATCTCTTTTCCCGGTTTCTCTCCTTCATCATATTACTAACCCTTCCCTTTTCCGTTAAATCCAGAAAATCATCAATCTTTTTATCTTCCAACGATTTAGGATCTGTACGAATTGGTTGACATGTTTCAGAAGAAACCGGTATTTCTTTACTTACTGAAGTCGTGTTATTGTCTTGCAAGCTCTCTTCCTTGATTAGTGAGACGTCGTATTCCAGTTTAGCTAAAGTGTTGCTTTTTTCTTCATCTCTCCGTTCTAGATTCGTGAATCTGCTTTCATGTTCTTCTAAAGCTTGTTTTAATTTTGCATTTTCGGCCTTGACATTAACATTCTCTTTCCTAAGTTCATCAATCTGCGCTAGGAGTTTGGAATTTAATTCCTTTAACGAGTCTAAAGATTCAACGATTTCGGATTGAGTGTTTTCCATTGTTTTTTATATGTATAAAAAATAGATTTATTCAAAATGTAAGCCGTCTTTATCTTTTAAGATCAGTGATTATTCCAACGCAATATACGGATAATAGTGAAGCTATATATGAGTTTATAAATACTTTGTTGTTATTACGAGTAAGTATTTGTTTATATTATACATTTATTCCGCAATATTTATCCAACTTTTTTTTTTTAATTTGCAGAGAATCTTAATCGTTGATTTATCTTTGCTATTTAATTCTAAACCTAACGAAAGTGATGAAGATAGTTCGACAGTATCCTCCCCTCCACCTAACTAACGATTAACCTACGTTATTTTTTATCCTTTATTTTTTCTATTTCAATAAATTGACCCAGGTGGTCGAGATTTATACAAAAAAAAAGCTAATTATTACATATATCCATCCACTACATGTTGAGAATATCCGATTCGATGTTATTTACCTCTAAATATCTACATACCTCTCCATAATCAAATATCGCTTTCGTATCTTGCGTATTCCTATTTATGATAGTTATAAAATTTTCGTCGATTACATGCATATACTTAACCAGATTTTTGAATTGCATATACTGTTTAGGATTATCGGTAAATCTACTTTGAGTTTTTCGTCTGTTATTTTTAGATTTGCGAGACATATCTTATGTATAATGACGTATTATATCAAAGTATTGAAACATTCAATTTTAACATATATAAGGAAGATGAGCATTAATCTGATGCCTATTGGGTTTTCGGTTTACATTGTCAACTATGTAGAAAAAATCATACGAGTTTGGACGGTAAGTAATGGTTAGATAATTGAGGCAATAAACATTATTATCTGCATTGCGGTAAAACCAAAAGTCCAAGGGATTTCATTCGATATTTGTATCATGTAACTGATGAATTATAAAACTAGCACCTAAAAAAGGCGTAAAAATATTTTATTAAATATATATAAAAACGTATATATTATTCTCTCTCGATGCTACCACCGCCTGCATCATCTTGGAAGGTTCCCGGTTTAGCACTAATGTATTCTAATTTTAATCGTAATCCTCCTGTTGTCTGAATTTCTAGTTGTCCCGGATTATTAACAGTCGCAGGACATTGCGGATCTACAGGGAGTCAAGTGTCACTCACTAATAAAAAATTTTTGATCAACACGGAATTTTATATGAAAAAATGAAGAAAAAAATCACGC